CACCCCCCCCCCCCCCGACCCCACCCAAACCTAGCTATGACATACCGTGTCCCTCAGAGGAGGTGACCTCCCTGCTGCTTCCCTGCCTTTAGAGGGTATGTGATGGTCCTGTCCCGCACCGCGGCTCTCTCCGCCTCGCCCGTCACCTGCACACCTTTGTCACGCCAGCGGGACACCACGCGCTGGCTGCGTGTAACCGTCCTCCCGCTCCCCAAATGCCCCAGACACCGTTCTGGGGAAGGCCACGTTGCCTCTGGGATTTTCCCCATCAACATTGACAAATTATCTGCGCCTCTTATTTGTGGACCGTGCTGGGTTTGTTTATTTGTTTGTTCGTTCGTTCAATACAGGGTTTTTCTATGTAGCCCTGGCTGTCCTGGAACTTGTAGACCAGACTAGTCTCAAACTCAAAACATGCCTGCCTCTGCCCCGCAAGCGCCGGGATTAAAAGTGCGTGCTGCTACCGGCCGGCATGCTATTTTATCTTAACTAATGACATCTAGCAGAGCGGACATGGTGAATCTCCAGCACCTGCTTCCATTTCCCAGGGTGCCCATGGCATCCTCTGCCGTATCCTCCTCCCTCTCCTCACACTGAACCCAAAAGCAGCACACGTGTCGCCTGAATGTCACACCTCAATGACTTCCTCCATTCCGGACGCTTCTTAGACTCCCCAGGAGCTTTGTGTCCCTGTTTCTCTCCTCTTCCATTTTCACGTGCGGGTGAGTGCTGTGTGCGTGTGCGTGTGTGTGTGTGTGTGTCTGTGAGTGTATGTCACTGCACACGTGTGAGGATGCCTGTGACGGTGGGAATCCATCTCATTCACGAGGCAGGCTCTCTTCACAGACTCGGAGTCTGCAGGTTCACCAAGTCCCCTAGCCAGCCTGCCCCAAGACTCCAGTCCTCGCCTTCTGAACAGGAGCTGCACGCAGGACGCCGCGTCCACCTGGCATCTGTATGGGTCCCCACGCTTGTCCTCAAGCACTTTTGCCGCTGAGCTGGCTGTAGCTTGTCCCCGCCCCCACCCCCAGGGCACTGGAAGCTAGGCCAGGTCTTTGAAGCACCTGCAGTCTGCCCACGTGGGCCTCACATTTCCTCAGAAAGAGACCGAGTTGTGTGCGCTTCCTGCGGGAAGCCAGGAAAGGAAAACTGCATCCTTGGTGCCCGCTCCGTCGTTGCTGATGGGGCCCTGCTTGATGTATGAAGACACGGCGATTCCACTGTTGTGCCCTCCCTTAAGCTGGCATTTCCTGCATCTTATTTTAGAATCCTGAGGGGCTTGTTTTTAGATAAAAATCTTCGGTCACCCAGGTTGGCCTGGAACTTTGTTTGTTTGTTTGTTTGTTTGTTTGTTTGTTTTTCAAGACAGGGTTTCCCTGTGTAGCCTTGACTGTCCTGGACTCACTTTGTAGACGAGTCTGGCCTTGAACTCATAAGAGATCTGCCTGCCTCTGCCTCCCGAGTGCCCAGCGGGAACTTTTGAAGTAGTTCAGGTTGCTCTCGTCTTGTCCTGCTGCCTCTCGAGTGTTGGTTCACAGGCACACACCGCTGTGCCTGGTTGATGTTAGGGACGAAGCCCAGAATGTCGTGGCTGCCGGACAAGCACCTACCACCCGAGCCTCCACCCCAGGTTACGGAAGTCTATGATTCTAACACTAATATGCAAACCGCGCTAGATAAATTGTTTTATTTTGCATCAGACTGTTCTGGCTATGTAGCCCAGGCAAGCCTCAAACTGGTACTCCTTCTGCCTCTGCCTTCCAAGTGCTGAGATTACAGCTGTGAGCCACCACATTCAGCTGACCCTTACTGAGAGAGTGCTGCCTTACAAACTCAGCCCCCTCCTCGGGCAATGAGGTGCCCGCCGCTATCAGCTCCATAATACGTCCGAGACACTCAGGTTGGAAGTCACTCAGATGGCTCTGTGGTTGAGCTGGGGTCACAGCCAGTTGGCCCACGTGGCTAGGAGCCACCAAGAACAGAGCCTGTCAAAGCAAGGGCTGTAGTAACAGGGAGCCCCTGTCCTTTTATTCTACTCTTAGTTCTCTGTGAACCAGGGTGCCCTGTATCCCCACCCCCACCCCACCCCCCCGGCTGGGATTTTCCTGAGGAAGCTTTATAGAAAGCTGGTCACAGTAGCGGTGGCCACCACTTCCCGCTTCCGGAGCCCCAATCCAAGGTGGTACAAAACGCCTCATCTGCAGGGCTCAGGGTTCATCGGCGTCTAAGTCTGCTTGGGATGTGGCATGCCCATTCAGCACCTGCGCAGAACCCCCAGGGAGGGGCCGCGGTGGGGCTGCACCACCAGCGTTTGGGGGGTTTTAGTTTTCTTTAATTTTTAGGTTACATCTTAAGTTATTTTATGTGTATGAGTGTTCTGCCTACATGTATGTCTGCACACCACCGTATGCTTGGCAGCCACAGAAGCCAGAAGGCGACATCGGGTGCCCTAGTGCTAGAGTTATAAATGTGTGTGTGTGCCGGGAACCGAACTCGGGACCTTTGGGAAAGCAGCCAGTGCTTTCAGCCACTGATCCAGTCCCTAAATTACATCTCTTATTTGTAACTGTGTGTGTGCCATGTTTATACATGCATGGAAGCTTATGGTTGTTAGTTAGTGTTCTCTTCCCACCACGTTGAGTCCCAGGATTCAAACTCAGGTCATCAAGGTTAGTAGCAATCACCTTCATCCTCCCCCCCCAAACCGTCTTGCCCAGCCCTGATTATTTATTATCATTACCATTATTATTATTGTCCATTCCAAAGTCCCTGAATCCCTGCTATTCAGCTTTTGTCCCAGCACCACCCCCAGCCCCTAGGGCCAGTTACAAACGCAGAGCCTAGAAGCCACGGGCTCTGTACACACGCCCGCCTCAGCAGGTGCTAAGGGGGCCTGCGGGCTGAGAGGGCCGCCGAGGCTCATCCTTAGGGCTGGAGGATATAGCTCAGCGGTCAAGAGCTCGGGCTGCTCCTCCAGGCCGCGGGGGTCCGAGTGGCGGCCGCCGTGCGGGTGGCGCACGCCCCGGGCACCGTCCGGCCGCCGCAGGCCCCGCACGCGCCTGCGCGCCTCACAGGGCCGGCCCCGTCTGCTTCTCGTCCGCAGCGAGGGCACGCTGGTGTTCAAGCCGGGAGAGACGCAGAAGGAGCTGCGCATCGGCATCATCGACGACGACATCTTCGAGGAGGACGAGCACTTCTTCGTGCGGCTGCTGAACCTGCGCGTGGGCGACGCTCAGGGCATGTTCGAGCCCGACGGCGGCGGGCGGCCCAAGGGGCGGCTGGTGGCGCCGCTGCTGGCCACCGTCACCATCCTGGACGACGACCACGCGGGCATCTTCTCCTTCCAGGACCGCCTGCTGCACGTGAGCGAGTGTATGGGCACCGTGGACGTGCGCGTGGTGCGCAGCTCGGGCGCGCGGGGCACCGTGCGCCTCCCCTACCGCACGGTAGACGGCACGGCCCGCGGCGGCGGCGTGCACTACGAGGACGCCTGTGGGGAGCTGGAGTTCGGCGATGACGAGACCATGTGAGCGCGGCTGGGAGAGGGCGGAGCCTGCGGGAGGGCAGGGCGGAGCCTGCGGGAGCGAAGGGCGGAGCCTGCGGGAGGGCGGGGCGGAGCGTGCGGGAGCGCAGGGCGGGGCCTGCGGGAGCGAAGGGCGGAGCCTGCGGGAGGGCAGGGCGGAGCCTGCGGGAGCGCAGGGCGGGGCCTGCGGGAGCGCAGGGCGGGGCC